AATCATCTTTGGGCAATCCTCCAGGAGGCTTGGAGTAATATATCAAGTCAATGTTTGAATAAACTGACTGCTCGGATGCCTAGTGTTGTCCCTTATTATCAATGCAAAATGGTCACTAACTAAAGAGGATTTATGCTGATATTGCCCAAAAACCCTATTTTGTTCAGGCGTTTCCAAACTTTTGGAGGGCAGTGTACTGCCCACTAGCACATTTTCTGTTATCACAAAGGTCAGGGACTAAAATGTGGCCTTTACTGCCAAAACCTGGGATCGAAACAAGGAATCTTTGGAGCGTCAGTATAACACTCTCCCAACTGACCTATTTCGGCCAATGAAAAAAAAGCTTTTTTGTACAAACCGAAAATTGGTTCATATTCATCATGACTCAAACTTGGCATACCCAACCTTACATAGAGCATGCAGGAGGTGCTTTTAAACAATGTTTTTTCTGTATTTTTTTTTAACTTACTACAACAGTAAAGAACCTTGAGTAAAGTCTTTGTTGGTTCCGCTGAGACTTGAACTCAGCACTTACAACACATCGAAATTTTAGTTTCTGGAGGAGATGATTTTTACTTGCTACAATAGCAAAAAATCTTAAGCAAAGACTCTGCAGTTTCCACCGAGATTTTACCTCAGACAACCATTACACCATGGAACAAGACACTTCAAACCTTTTACTTCCACCAACTGAAGACTAGGATATTCTCAAAAGGCTGGATTGAGAGTCCAGAGTTCTAAGCATTACACTATGGAGCTAAGATACTTTACGATTTTAGACTCCACCAACTGAAAACTAGGATATACTGACTGATATCTTCTGTTCTGACTTATCACAAAAGGTAAGGGGCTAAGAAGGTATAACCAAAACATGGCCTTCACTGTCAAAACCCAAGATCAAACCAGAGACCTTAACATCTTCAGTCTAAGGAACCTTGAGGAAAGATGTTGCAAGTTCCACTGAGATTTGAACTCAGATTGCAGGATTCAGTGTGCAGAGAGCTAACTATTACACCATGGAAACAAAACACTGCAAACATTTTAGTTTCCACCCAGCTAACATTAGCATATACAAATCAATAGCTTCTTGTTCTTAGTTATCACAAAGGTCAGGGACTAAGGATGTACACATACATTGAGCAGAAACTTTCCAGGTTCCACAAAGATTCAAACTCAGATCACTGTGTTGACCATTACACCATGGAAGCAAAACGGTTCAAAATATTTGTTTCCACCAACTGAATACTAGCATATACTGACTGATAGCGTCTTGTTCTCAGTTATTATAAAGTCCAGGACCTAAGAAGGTATAATCATGACATAGTCTTAACTGCCAAAACAAACAAACACTCTCCCAATAGATTTGCAATTTAAATATATGTTTATTGGAATATATCTACATACAAATCTGTGTTTCCATTCAGTGCAGTAGTTTTACTGAGTGTAATAGTCTATACCTTGTATCAGTAATATAATGTGAACATTGTTCTGGCAACTGAATTTGTTTAATGGTGTGCCACTCTGTGATGAATATTCAAGTATTTGTGCATGCATGTGTGTAAGAAGGCTTGTGTGATACATACAGTATGCTTTCTTCACTTCAGCTCATGAAGGTGCTGAAAGAAACTGAGTATTAATGCTGCATGTGCCTTTTTTCAATTAGAAATAAGTTCTGAGCTCCAGTAATGACCCAGACATAACAACTAGTGTGGAGATCCAGCAGGGGTTCTGCTGAACACATGGTGCTAATGAGGCCAGCATGCTGTATTTTTAAACTGCCAATTGCCAACTCTGTGCTGAAGGTCAGAATATCTCTTCTCTTAGCTGTCATCACCTTCACAAATATGTCTTCACAATTGCACAACAAAAGCACAGTCGTATGGTTCGGGGATATGTTAATAATTCTCAGTGATCTTGGGTCTTCACAGCTTTCTCTTGCAATTATGATGTGCATGGCAGACTGTTAGACAGCTCAAGTTTGTTTTAGTTGAAATGTTTTGGCTCACAGAGAGGTAGTCCTAAGGAGGGGGAACTATAGGTACCGATGAACAAGAATGAACATTCCCTTATGGAAATATAGTATACTTCAATACATTTTTAAGGTGTAATATACATAAGTGCATTAAGTACATACAGTATACCACTCATACATATATTCACTCTTTCTTCTTCAGTAATCACCTTATTGTTCATGATATTGAAAACAGACTGCTATGCTCAGTCATTCAATTGACTGGTGGCTTCTATCACTGCAGTATGAAAGATAATTCCCCTAAATACCATCAGGTTATCACATGCCCCACAACAAAAGATACACCAAAAGTTTACACCACCAACAAAAGATGCTTTCTTTGCCCTCCCTTGCACACCACTTAGAAACTCTGCCCATGCCATGATCATGCTTGTACCCACTTACAGGCAAGCAAAAACAAACCATCCAGGACAATCAGATGCCAACAGACTCCTGAAGCAGTGGAGGAGCTACAGGACTGCCTAGACACCACTGACTGGTCAGCAATGAGAGTTTGTTGCAACCATTTGGAATGAATATACTGTCTCTGTTACATCCTACATATGCTTTTGTGAAGAGGCTTGTCTACCAAAAAACTGTAGTGTTGATAATGTTGATAATGATATCCATGGTTCACCAAGGAACTGAAAGTGCTCAATCCTGGTGTACTCACTGGGCTGGAAATAGAGAGGAGTATCACTCTGCTAAGCAACATTTTAACAAAGCACTAAAGGCTGCAAAGAGGGGCTGTAAGGAAAGGTGGGAGAGGGAGTTCTCTAGCAACAACATTAGGGCTGTTTGGGGCTCCTTGCTGACACTCATCAGCTACAAATGCAGGAGTTTGCAGGCACCCCACACCCCCATTCTGGCAGATCAACTGAACCAATTCTATAGCCGCTTTGAGAATCCTCCCCCTCCCACCACAATGGATGGCTCAACGGTCCCTTCCTCATCACTGCAGGATGCCCCTACACCCATTTCACACTCCCCACTCACTATCACTTCAGAGCAAGCTAACAAGATCTTCAAAAAACTAAATACAAGGCTTCAGGGCTTGATTTATTTGATTTACAGGAAGGCTATGTAATTATTATTGGATAATTGCATGAATGAGTACGGCGGTACAGGTGTTCCTATTAAAGTGGACATTAGGATACTTCTTGTGAACTTGGATAAACGTGTAGTATACTTGACTGGAATGGATGCACAATCGTTCTGTGCACAGTGGTATATACATTGATGAATGGACTAAAGAATTACTGTTGGCGTAATTATTATTATTATAATCTAAGCGAAGTACCCATCTTCTCAAAGGGATAAGCTCTTAGACACGACAGAAAAAGGAATCAAACTTTCATGACGCCAGCCAAATCATTACAGACCAACATCTGTGGAAACAGCAGCATTTCAGTCTCCCAAAAAGGACTTGGGGGAAGCATGCCTACGTCCAGAGTACTTTTTTTGAGAACTGTGCTTCTTTTCATTGGGTAGGCTACAATGTGTACACAACTTACTCTGTTTCCATGATAACGTATTCATCTGGGGCTGTTTCAGCTTTCCAGCTCTTCATGACAGAAACCACTATGGTCTCTACAGCTCCATCTGCTTTTCCAGAACATTCTCTCCCATAGCAGACCAGCACACAGAGCATCGCAAATAAATTACAAGAGGAAGGTGTTTCTTTCTTTTGGAAACAATGATATTTAGCATAATTTAATTGTGATTTTTTCAGATATGCACTAGAAAATGCATATCTGCTGTAAGAACTCCACATCAACCACCATAGCCATGAAACCTGTTTATATTTCTATGTAAGAATGGGGTCTTTGTCATACGCAACATAATTTAAGTTTGAAGTGCTTACTGGTGTGGCCTAGCCTGAGTTATTAGTCATGAAAAATACAGTTGTCTTCTCATTTTAGTACATAATGGTGAGCTTTTATGTAGAGTAGTAGTCAAAAATAAGCACACGTGCAATGACATCACTGGCAAGCCATGTTTATGTGACGGAATACTGTGTTTGCAATGTATGTTTGATTTTCCGAGGGTGCTCATATTAAAAATACACGACATTTGTGAAAACATGTCACTGAGACAATACTTGCTTTAAGAGAAAATGTTAGGAGTTAAATGCGCCATAGTACCACTCAGTTTATGTTTGTACGTAAACTGCAATGGAGAAAAAGGAAGCATTGGCAGAAGTTTTGATGGCAAGAGTGCTACAAACCTCCTATTCCCATGATCCCGTGCAAATGGAACACAGTCTTCCTGAGTTATGCGTGCAAACTTGACAGTAAGAGCCTGGTTTGATTTTAGTGTAGGGCAACCCAGCCCTCCTGCATTCCTACTTTTCAGTAAGAATTATAATTTTCTATTCCCCATGAGATTCTTATAAATACTTACATACATACATCTGTGACCTAAGGATAATGGAGTCTTAGGTACAGTGTGACTTTTAAGCTTAACCATATAAAATTAAAGATGACATTTTAACCCCATTATATTTTAAAGTGACATGTTGGAAAAATCTAGGAGTTACATAGATTTAATACACATCAGTGGCCAGGGTCACAAGAGCAAACTGGAGAAGAATTGGTAAAAACTGATATAAATATACAAATTAAAGAAAGAAAGGAATGGAGTGAGAGAAAATTAAAACCAGAGCCAAGCCAACTTAAACAAATAGCATGTCAAAAAATGATTATTATTACAAGGATGCTCTTATATTCTGTAACACCTTGTGGATTCAGTGTCAGAGAATTGTCGAACGTGACCCTGAAAACATCAGCTTTTCAAAATTGATTATAAAGAATTACAATTCAGGCAACATGTGTTATTTTTTTTTATGAAGCTGAAGATAGTTCTGATTGAGACAGACATAGTGTGTGGAAATTGCAAAGGAATACAGCTACAGTGGATATAAAAAGTCTACACACTCCTGTTAAAATTGCAGATTTTTGTGATGTCAAAAATGAAACCAAGATAAATCATGTCAGATCTTTTTCTAGAAAAAAACTTGCACACGTGCACACCTCTTAACTAATTTTTGTTAAAGCACCTTTCGCTTTAATACAGGACACAGTCCTTCTGACAGTCTTTTTGACAGAATTCTTCTTCTTTTGTTAACTTAAATTTGTGCTTTGGGTCGTTGTGATGAAATCTGGAATGGTTCTTCAATTTCAGCTGTATAGAAAAAGGCAGTACGGGCACATATTCCTGCAGCTCCTTTAACTCTTTTTACCAGAGGACTAAAAATGGAATTTCCACCTGGTTAAGCGTGCCTGTGTTCAACATTGAATTTATTTGTGATGTCACACTCCATAGAAGTGGTTAATGGCTCATATGAAAGTAGACAATTTGAAATATTTCATATGTAGTTGTTTTTTTTTTTTTACCTAGCCTACTAGGTTTATCATTTTATTGTGGAAGTTGTATACTGTGTTTTACTATCAAAACATTGAGAGCTTTAGTTGCTGTCTGTTTTATCTCTGTACCCATGTTATTGTGCAGAGGTGTGAATTGTTTGCCCAGCAGGGGGCTCACACCCTTCCCCTTTGGTCACCAGCTGCTAAACGCAAAGTCACAATACTCTACACACAGAAACCTAATAGTGTCCTGAAGAATCTTATAACAGACTTGCGGTGATAAACGAAGTAATTTTTTTATACTGATTGAAAATGTCCGATAAGTCGATTTTCCATTTCGCTGGAGAAATGGAGCACCAGTGTACTGTGAGAAAGGGTTAATGTTGCTGTAGGTCTCTTGGCAGCCTCCCTGATAAGTTTTCATCTTGTCCTTTTGTCAATGTTGGAGGGATGTTGTTACCCACTTGTTGACTGACCCACTGTGGCCTCCACAGTGTTCCATTGTACATCTAATGTTTTGGAAATTCTTATGTACCCCTCTCCTGATCGATACCTTTCAACCATGAGATCCTGTACATGCTTTATAAACTCTTTGCAGACCATGGCTTCTGCAGTCAGATGAAACCAAGAAGATGTCAAGAAAATCTT